TAACCTATTCCAGGGCCCAAAACTGGACACAGTACTCCACTGCAGAATAGAAGGGAAGAATCACTTCTCTCAATCTCCTGTACTAATGCAGCCCAGTATACTGTTAGCCTTCTTTGCAACAAGTGAATATTGCTGGCTCATATTCAGCTCATTGTCCACTGTAACTCCTAGGTCTTTTTTTGCACAGCTGCTACTTAGCCCATCAATCACTAGCCTGTACTACTATATGGGATTGTTCCATTCTAAGTGCAGGACTTTGCATTTGTCCTTACTGAACTTCAACCAATTTCTTTTGGTCTGAGCCGCCAACTTGTCGAGGTCTCTCTGAGTCCTATCCTACCCTTTAGGGTTACTACATGGCATCATCCACAAACTTGTTGAGAGTGTACTCCATCCTATCTTCCAGATCACTGATGAAGTTATTGAACAAAACCAGCCCCAGGACTGACCCCTGGCGCACTCCATCTGATACTGGCTGCCAATTAGATATCAAGCCATTGACTACTACCGATGAGTCCAATGATCCAGCCAGTTTTCTATCCACCTTACAGTCCATTCATCCAACCTGTACTTCCTTATGTTGCCTATGAAAATGTTGTGGGAGACCATATCAAAAGCCTTGGTAAAGTCCAGTTACATCACATTCTTTGCTCTTCCTGCATCCACAGAGCCAGTCATTTCATCATAGAAAGCATTCAGGTTGGTCAGGCATAACTTGCCGTTGGTGAATCCATGCTGACCATTCCTAATCACCTTCTTTCCCTTCTAAGCACTTAAAAATGGATTGCTTGAGGACCTGCTCCTTGATTTTTCCAGGGACTGAGGTGTGGCTGACTAGTCTGTGGTTCTCAACATCTTCCTCTTTCCCTTTCTTAAAGATGGCCCTTTTGCAATCATTCAGGACCTCTCCCAATCACCACAAGTTTTCAAAGATAATAGCTAGCAGCTCTTCAATCACATCAGCCAACTCAGCACTCTCAGGTGCATCACATCCATCCCTTGGCACTTGTTGACATCCAGCTTTTCTAAATAGTCCCTATCCTGTTCTTTCACCATTGTTGGCTGCTCACCTCCTCCCCAAACTGTGGCCAGGTACAGTAGTCTGGGAGCTGACCTTGCCTGTGAAGACTGAAGTGAAAAAAAGCATTGAGTACTTCAGCCTTTTCTGTATCCCCTGTCTGACTAGTTTACTTCCCCCTTTCAGTAAGGGGCCGACACTTTCCCTCATCTTCCTCTTGTTGCTGACATACTTGGAGAAACCCTTCTTGTTACCCTTCATGTCCTTTGCTAGCTGCAACTTCAGTTACATTTTGGCCTTCATTTCATCTCTTCAAGCACAAGTGATACACTTATACTCCTCCCTAGTCATTTGTCCAAGTTTCCATTTCTTGTAAGCTTCCTTTTTTGTGTTTTAGCTTATTGAAATGTTCCCTGCTAAGCCAAGCTGGTCTTCTGCCATACTCACTAGTCTTCCTGTGCATCAATATTGTTTGTTCCTGTGCCCTCAGTAAAGTTTCTTTAAAGTACAACCATGACTCCTGGACTTCTTTCTACTTCATACTGGACTCCCAGGGGATCCTGCCCATCAGTTCCCTGAATGAATCAAAGTCTATTTTTCTAAAGTCCAGGGTCCTTATTCTGCTGCTCTCCTTCCTTCCTTTCATCAGGATCCTGAACTCAATCATGTCATGGTCAGTGCTGCCCAAGTTGCCATCCATTTCTACATTCCCTGCCAACTAAGAGCATGGCCCCTAGTTGGCCTCTCCAACATCTGCACCAGAAAGTTGTCCCCAACACTCTCCAAAACACTTCCTGGATTGCCTGTGCACTGCTATATTGCCCTCTCAGCAGACGTCAGGGTGACTGAAGTCCTCTATCAGAACCAGGGGTTGTAATCTGGAAACATCCACTAGCTGTGTGAAGAAAGCCTCATCTTCCATATCCTCCTGGTCTGGTGGTCCACAGAAGATACCCACCACAGCATCACCCTTGTTGATCTCCCCTCTAATGCTAACCCAGGCACTTTCAACATGCCCGTCTCCAGTTTCATAATGGAGCTCTGAGCAATCATACAGCTCTTTTATATAAAAGGCAACTTCTCCTCCTCTTCTCCCCTGCCTGTCCTTCATGAACAGTTTATACCCATCCATGACAGTACCCATCTAGTCATGCAAGCTGTCTTTGTTACTGCAATCATGTCACAAATCTGTGACTATGTAAGGACTTCCAATTCTTCTTCCTTGTTTCCTAGGCTCTGTGCGTTCATGTACAGGTATCTGAAGTAACTAACTGATTTTCTTATTTTCTTCGGAAGAATGAGAAGGTTTCCCCTGTTGTCCCCTCCTGCTTGTGCTTCTTCCAGGTCATCTGCTTCCCTACATACCTCCAGGCTTTGGTCTCCATCCCCTGGCAAATCCGGGGGTTTTGTTTAAAGCCCTCCTCACTAAGTTAGTGAGCCTGTCTGTGAAGACGCTCTTCCCTCTCTTTGTCAGGTGGATCCCATCTTTTCCTAGTAATCCTCCCTGGAACAAAATCCTATGGTTAAAGAAGCCAAAGCCCTGCTGATGACACCATCTGTGCATTGATTTGCAAGATGCATCCTCTAGGGCTGTGCAAAGCTTCGGTAGCTGATTCAATTCGGAGGAGAGTCAGCCTGATTCGCTGGCTGAATCACCAAATCCGAATCAAATCGGAAAACTAAACAAAAGGTCCAAATTAAATCGGAAGCCTCTGAATTGGTCCAGAAAAGATTTGGCACCAATTCGGAGATTCAGTCATAGACTAAACAGGCAGCAGTCCTCACCATGCTGTACACAGCTGCATCCAGCTGGTAAATCTGTTGTGGTGGGTGGACGGAGGACAGAAGGGACAAGGGGTGGGGGCAGATCAATGCCCCACAGTGAGCAAGGGATTGGGGCTGGGACAAAATGACCAGCCAGGGCAGCGAGGAACGGGACTCAGGGAGGGGGTTTCCTGCCACTCCACCTGCCCCGTGGAGAGCAGCCCGGCAGTGGGTGGCTGAGGCTAACCTCCTGGAGTGCAGCCCAGCCCACCCCATGCAGATCCAGGAGCATACACCCTCTCCCATGCCCTCCTAGACCAGCAGCGTGCGGCCCTTCCCTACCCCCTTCACCCACCACAACAGACATACCAGCTGGAGGCAGCTATGTCCAGCACGGTGAGGACTGCTGCCCATTTAGTCTGTGGCCAAATCTCCAAATCAACACTGAAGTATCAAATCCGAATTGACCGAATCAAATTGGGACAGTGATTCAAATCACCGAATCAAATCACTGTCCCTCCACATCGGCTGAATCCAAATCCAAAACAAATACTTGCTGCTTCATGCAGGCCTAGCATCCTCTCCGACCTGGGCTCTTCCCATTAATTGATAATACGACTTTAGCCTCTACCCCCTTTACCCTTGCACTCAGACCCCTGTAGTTACTTTGGCTCTACAAAGAATTTGAATGTACCTTTTCCCATCTCCAACTCTAATTTAAATCAGTGCATATCATCTCCAATTTACAGACTCCCTGTCCAGGAATATCTCATAAACCTAGTAGTAGTAGTAGTGCTTGGGACCCTTCTATGCCTTGCAAGTTGACCCCATACATGGGTTTAATTATTCTTAATTATTACACAAGGACTAGCAGTATAGTAGGGTTGGAAAGTGGCTAACTGGGAACCAGAGGTAGGGAAGATAGTCTATTTAAAAGATCTGAGCAAGGATACAGAGAGTAGAAAAGGTAGGGTGACTAGGTCTAGGGTAGATGTCTGGGGAGGTGATAATAATACTTGTTAAGCAAGGAGACCAAGCAAGTTGATGAATAGAGATGGGGGTTGACCAGATGAGGAAAAGGGGACTGAGACAAGTTGCAAGGGAAAGGGTAAAGTCACCATTGGGAAAGGAAAAAGTGGTTGATGAAGAGGTTGTTATTGGAGGAGGGGGTAGGGGTAAGGGCAGGGAACACCAGGAACTGGAACAGGCAGTTCCTGAGTTTCACTATTCTGGTGCCATCTGTCAAACTGACCAGCAAAAAGCCTAACCCCTTAACACTTATTACTGGTCCATGGTAATATTAGGATTTTATCCTCTCTCAGTTAGTACATGAACTCAACTGACAGAAATCATTTTGGTGTATTGAAAGGTAATGCCCACTGCAGGTATCAATATGATGCTATAAAATACTTCTGTTGTTTCAGTTTCCTTTTGTAAACTCACCAGAAACTGCATGTACGTGGACACGCACACACACACACAACTATTTTAAAGTACTACAAAAGACAAACACACATAATTAAGGTCACTTGTGTTCCCCTGGTTCACTGAACATATGCTTTATGATAGTCTTTAATTACATGATCCACAGGACCCTTGTTTCATTCAGTGCACAGAGTAGATGGTGTTCACTCATTGAAGACTTCTTCATTATTTTGTGCTCTCTGTATGTGTGCCTCCATACCTTATTTACTGCATGCTGCTCAAACTCTTTTGAAGAAAGAATTAATTTTCCCACAGGTTTTCCTTTGGTGCTTATCACTATGGTGTCCAATTGCTCCACAAATATTAATGAATTACTCTTTACTACACCCTTGTGAGCTGGGTGGGTATTATCCTAATTTTAGATGCAGTGAGATGAGTACAGACAGGTTAAGGTAAAATATAACCACCTATTCTGGGGTGTCCATTTTAAGACATCTGGGATCTGATTTTTCAAAAAGGAGTTAGCATCACAAGAAACACAGATAACATTGACTTCATTTGCAGATATAGGTACTCAACACTTCATCAGATCTGGCCCAAGACTCTTCAAGGATCAGCAAGAAAATGTAGGACATACAATTAGTGAGCTTTTAAAAATTTGGTTTAAGTGATTTGCCTAGAATCACACAATAATTCTGTGTCACAGGCTGAGATGGAACCCATCCCTGAGGGCCTTGTTACAACTTATTCTGTGAGCTGCGCAAATGTTGATCAGTGTTAGTACTAGCTTGGAGTTTGGAGCAGTAACACCCTTAGACAGCTTTCTCTGACTGTCCTCCACCTGCACAGTTGTGAGTTGCCACTACAGGGTAAGTGAGCCAGGACAAGCTTCTATCTCTGCTTCACGGGTGGGGTTGTGAGAGAACCTGAGATATTGGAGAACTTCAAATTTGGGCGGCACATCTGTGGGAAGTGGACACAACTTAATAGATCAGGAGCCTGGTAGTGCAGATCAGAGATAATCCTTCCCTGGAGTGGTGCAACTTTGAGCTGCATAACAAGAGCTTAAAAACACTTTAAGGTGTTA